GTTTGCAAGGTATTCCTCTCACCTCCAGGTTATATCATACCGTTCGGAATTTTAGAGTATTTTCATGTATTAAAGCTTTGTAGAGAGGATGATAAGGTGCAGATCTCCACTCACCGACATGATGCTCCCTGTGCTACCCCTCAATGTGACTTGTCTGCTAAAATGTGCACAGAGATGAGGTAGCCCAGAGGGTTGAGTGGACTTTTTGTGTGTTTGCTTGCTTTCGCTAGAAGGAGGCTGTCTTCCCCAAGCCCCTGATGATGGGTAGCAATCACTGCAGCCGAATCATTGCAAACCAGGCTCCCCTGGTCAGCAGACACCATTCCCAGCCAATGACCAACATTTCCTATCTTGGAAGAACATGACTACTCCATGAGATGCTCAGTACCCCTCTGAAGGCTAAGACTTTAAAACCGTTAACCTATGACTTGTATGCCAAGCTGCCTTAATAACAAAATCCTTGTGGCAACAGTTTGACTTGAGAGGACCAAGATACTTAACACCAGTTCAGGCCGGTATATCCAAGGACACACAAGAATTAGGGAAATTATATAAAAAGCAGGTTTTTCCATTCTCCTTATTTATAGCTGATTGTTCAATGTTTCAAATAGTTTGAGTCTCATCTAATTGGGGTTCGGTGCACTAAGTTTCAATTGAACCTGGAATCTCTGTAATGAAACAAGTACAAGCCACAGGACAGCTTGAGACAGTAAAGGGCACCGTCCTTTGTTGGTCAATAATGCCCAGTCACAAGGAATAATGGCTGTATCTTGGACCCTTAACAGAGCTCAAAATAACTAACACCAGCCCTAGTTTTTAAAAATTCTGTGAAACACTTCTGGATTATAACGACATCTACCTAGCAGGCCCCCATTTAGCTTCTCCACTTCTTACTACAAAGACTATGAAGACACTGGGAAAAAGATGAAAATGGATCACCAACCAAAACGAAATCGGATAAGTACCTTTCAATTTAGATTACTTCTTTTATCTGTCTAGAAACATGCAGGAGTTTTGTCTTCATCCTTATCATTAAAAAATGTTTCCAGGATGTTTGATTGTGGATTGCTTTTAGTTAATTTTGCTCAGCAACATTTTCCTATCTTGCAATTTAATTGTTCCTACCATTCCATTTGTTCTGCATCTCACCTATAGCATCACCACTTTTACTGTGAGGAATCTGATTCTGCCTCCACAGCTATCATTTTCCTTTTCATCATCAACCTTTTCTTGTGCATTCTGCAGGAGCACATCCATTTTGTATCCACTTCATTGATTAGATTTCCCACAGTCCCAATTCTCCCCCCTTCTCCTCATACGTAGAATTTTAGCACTATGTTTTTAGATTCTTTGTGGTCATTCTTCATCTTGTCTGATAACTTCTTATGTGCCCACTGCCCACTAAAATGCCAGAAGACTATCAGTGATTACAGTCAAATGATTATGGCCGAATTGCCTGTCAGAAGTGAAGACTAGAAATTCACTCTTCCAAATATATAATGTACCATCTATGTGCACTTTTTGAAAAATCAGATTAATGATTCCATATGGTTTTTATCTAAACAGCTAACAGGAGGGTGAGAATAAAATAAAATAATTGGAGGGGGACACACTCTTTCATACTCAACTCTCTGATAACCAGAGAAATAGAGGATAAATGATGCTTTTGAAAAATTTCAAAACAATCGCTAGTAAAATTCCACAGCATTTCAGAAGTAAAAGCAAAGAAAACATAGAGAAAAAAGACAGAAACTTAAGAACAAAGGACAAATAGGAAAGTCTAGAAAATGCCAGAAATAAGAAAAAATAAATCAACCACAATAAATGTAATTGAATCACTTTACATAGGAAATAAGAAGTCTCTCAGATGTGTCAGAAAACAAAGTGCACCTATATTCCACCTATATGAAATAAGTTCAAAGCAAAAACAATACAAACATGACTGTAATAAAGATATGGTCAAAGACATCAAGCTAATACCAGCAAAAATAAAGCAATGGTCACAATATTAATATCAGATAAATTTGAATTAAAGAGAAAGAGTATGAATTGGGTCTAAGAAGGCACTTCACATTAATAAAAGGTCTATTTAAAAATGAATAAATAATATTCATGAGTGTTTATATGCGTTTTAAGGAAACATAAAAAGAAACAGACACTAAAAACAGCACAACAGCATTGGGAAATTTAGCACTATTTTGGTCAAACTACTAAAAACTTTTAACAACCTGTTGCTATTGATTGTGACCAATATATGGTACTTGAGGTACTTTAGATACATGATTTTTGTGTCTACATGAATAAGAGTCCTGAAGAATGCTCAAATCAGCTGAAAGGGTAGCCTAGAACAAGCTAAATCTTATAGTATTGAAAGAAACAGTGATCAGATGTTTTAAAAGCCTCAAGAATTATGATAAAATACTCATGCTGATTTAAAGCATATGCTGCATTCTGCAGGATAATATCCCAATTGTACAGGATTTTGTCTCTCAACTCCTTTCAACAGGTCATTCACCATTTCTAGGGATGAGGTACATGGTAATACTAATGAATTTCTTGGGCACATACCTTTTGATATACTTCTTTCACCATTTCCGAAAAGAAATGTTGTATGGAATACCATGACAATGGATAGGATAGTCTATAAACCCACAGAGAGTAGAGCTATCAGGGCAAGGCACATCTGTGTCAGGAATTTGTATGTATTTCTTTAAGGATAAATTGCTGCACTCTCCATGATGACGATGGCAGGTCACCTTGGGAAATGGTGCCATTATCAGGGCCTTAACCTTGGTCTTGCTTATTGATAGGGTAGACAATCATCAAGGTAACAGTCAAATTAGCCTTGGTAAGGGGAAATCCAGATTCCTGAGTCCATGCAAAACCTCCATCCCTGCCAACATGGTCGCCTTGTACATAAGCTTATCAGACAAGCCATTTGGGTGAAAGAGATTGTGTGACATTCACAGGATGCATCATCTTGTCCCCCTGATTATTGAGATCCTCCTCTATAGAGGGTACCATCTGAGGAGATACACATATCTTCACACACTTTGGCCATTCTGTGAGGCCCATACACATATCTCATATCACCAATTCTGTTCTTGCTGAGTCCCAGATATGTTGGCTGGACAGTCAGAGTTTATTTCCCACCATTTGGCAGGCATATATCTTACTAAGTCATGTAGGAAACTTTCTGCATACTACATACCAAATCAAACTAGCATAATGTCGTAAGTGTAACAAACTAGCAAGATGTTTTGTGACATTTCAAGCTATCTAAGTTCTTCCAAGTTGTATGATCATAAAGGGCAAGAGAGTCAGCATAGCACAAGTCAAGACAGTGAAGGGGTACTCTTCTCCCTACCGGGTGAATTTAAATTGCTATTAATTGTAATTACTAATTAGAATTTAACAAAAACCATTTGCTGAGTCAAAAGTTTTATATCAAATGCCACAGAATGTGTTCATTTTCTCCAGTAGAAATATCACATTTGGAATAGCAGTGATGATATGACTGAAGATAATTTTCATAATCATGATGCCACTGCAGACAGCAGCTTACCATTTTCTCATTCCCCACCATACCCCCAAGCTGAGAGGTTATTATCAGTAAATAAGAGGGCAGTCTTGCCCAAGAATTCCCATGCTGAGGGATTGATTCTGGAGCTACTTTCGGTAAGAAGTACCAGTCAGATTCCCAACTATAAACAGAATTCTCCCCAGTAGCTCAAATTAAGAGACTTCAATGAAAGCACTACTTACAAACATACAGGCAGTACTAATGAATTTTGAGGTACTCTGAAATTAATGTTAACAGGGAAACAGGGAAACAGCTCTAGATCTGAGAGACAAGGGGAGGAAATAGTGTTACTGGAGCCCAGGGAGAAGAGAGCCACCAGCAGAGAGCTGTATTCATGGACAGTCACAGCTATTGCCAAAGATGTAGCAATGAAGCAGGAAAGATCAAAGAATAAATATTCTGATCTCTCTCTCATGCCACCTTCTGATCTCCATGAGCTAAACCCAACCGGAAGTGAGGTCCAGCCCTGGTGATACAGTGGAAAGAGGCCAGGCTTCTAGGGTAAACAACAATTCAGAGAAGGGTAGATAAATGGATATGAGGGTGAGGAGACAGGGAATAATCAGCACAGAAATGCATAAAGAAAAAAAGCTTATGTGGTCCTGCTTTTCTATAACAAGGACAAAACTAAATGATCTGCCTAAACGATGGAGCTTTTATTGCATGAAGATATTTCTACATATTATTTTTATAATGATTGGCAGTAGACAACTACTCTTTGGTCAACACAACCCCATAGCTGTTCTAGGAATTCCACCCTCCTTGACCAGTCCATTTATGTGGTCTGAAAAGCTGTGTAAGCCAGTAAATAGTAGGGTGGAGAATAAAGCAGATTTGTAATAACAGCGTGAGAAAAGAACAGAGAAAGAACACGTAGAGAGAAGTCCCTTCTCAGCCTGTTCCTGAAACATGGCGTCGTATTGCCCTTGAAGGCCATGAGACGCCCCAGAATGTTTCAAACAAATCCATCTATTTTGCTTAATTTTAATTAGAGTTTTGTTTCTTTTACTTAGAGTCTTAATAATGGATCATTATTATGAATGCATAGTTAGAATTAACACAATTTTCTACTTGGACATAACGTGTCGATTTGAACTTGTATCATTGTTTCCTGCTTGATTTCAGGTGATTCTTTTTTAAAAATATGAGAAATTAATAAGAAGCAAAAGAAACATTACAGCAAAAGAAACATATATGAATGGAGAAAAGCCAAAGAAAAGAAATTGTGGGCCGAGTGGGTCACAGCTTTCAACTACAAAAGCGGAAAAACCCATTAAATCTGTGTAGACAGTTTAAGAATGGGTCGCTGCAATATGTACATGACATTTTGTGTGGAAGGTAATAATCTCATGTAAATGTTTTAAATAGTAGGGTATTTGACTCACAACCAGTTTGATTTGACTTTGCCAATGTATTCACATTTTAGAAATTACCAGAGGCATCTTCCCTTCTCAAAACCCCATGAAGACGAGCAGCTTACGAAAGTCTACATACTTCTCACTGAGGGCACACAAATAAAATGGATATTCTTGAGGAAAATAAGATTGTTAAGAAAATGGTTTTCCAAAAGAGTTTGAATCTACAAACTTCCTTTGCTAAAATTCCCAATCTCAGATTTCTACACCAAAATCTTAGCTTAAAACACTCATCTACATACAGATGTGTCGCTTAACCACGGGGATCCATTCTGAGAAATGCGTTTGGTGATTTCATCTTTGTGTGAGCATCATAAAGTGTACTTCCACAAACCTACATGGTATAGCCTGCTACACACTTAGCCTGTATGGTACTGCCTACTGCTCCTAGGCTACACACCTGTACAGTGTTTTACTGGACTGAACACTGGTAGCAGTTGTAACACAACGGAAAGTACTTGTGTATCTAAACAAAGAAAATGTACAGTAAAAATACAGGATGAAAGACCAAAAATGGTACACCCATCTAGAACACTTACATGAATGGAACTTCCAGAACTGGAAGTTGCTCTGGGTGAGTCAGGGAGTGAATGGTGAGTGAATACGAAGGTTCAAGACATTACTATACAGTACCGCAGACTTTATAAACACTGTGCACTTAGGCTACACTTTATTTATTTTAAAAAAAACACTTTTCTTTCTTCAATAATAAATTAACCTTAGCTTACCGTAACATTTTTACTTTATAATTTTTTTAACTTTTTGACTCTTTTCTAAGAACACAGCTTAAAACACACATTGCATAGCTGTACAAAAATATTTTTTTTCTTTAGATCCTTATTCTACAAGCTTTTTTCTATTTAAAAAAACTTCTTGGGGGCCGACCCCGTGGCCGAGTGGTTAAGTTCGCGTGCTCCGCTGCAGGCGGCCCAGTGATTCGTTGGTTCGAATCCTGGGTGCGGACATGGCGCTGCTCATCAAGCCACGCTGAGGCGGCATCCCACATGCCACAACTACAAGGACCCACAACGAAGAATGTACAACTATGTGCCAGGGGGCTTTGGGAAGAAAAAGGAAAAAAATAAAAAATCTTTAAAAAAAAAAAAAAACTTCTTTTTACTTCCTAAACTTTATTGTTAAAAATTAAGACACAAACACACACATAAGCCTAGGCCTACACAGGGTCAGGATCATCAATATCACTGTCTTCCACCGCCACATTTTGTCCCACTGTTAGGTCTTCAAAGGCAATAACAGGCATGGAGCTGTCATCTCCTGTAACAATGCCTTCTTCTGGAATACCTCCTAAAGGACCTGCCTGAGGCTCCTCTTGAGGAAGTTTCACTCTTTTCAGAAATTTTCAGCTCCGTTATAATCTTATGGGACCACTGTCATATGTGTAGTCCATCATTGACCAAAACGTTGCTATGCAGCATGTGACTATATTAGTATAAATATCCTTAGGAAAATAACACAATTCTAAAGGTCTCTCCTAAATCTAAGCTTACTTCAGGAAAAGAAAGTTAATTTAATGTCAGAATTGGCCATGGAAATTCATTTTGGGTATATGTTGAAAAGCAAATTTATTATATTCTGATCCTGCCCCAAGAAAAGTTAAAATGACTTTGTTCGGCTGGTTGTGTTTAGTTAGTGGGGGAATGTTTGTTTTCCCTCTGTATTGCTATCATAAGACACATTGATCATTGTCTGTGGCCATTTGCTTTTACTATTTATATTTGAGAGATGTTGCAATATCAAGCGGGAAAGTCTGTCACGCAGGGGAAATTATTTGGACCATAAATGGTTATTTACAAATAAAGCCAACTTATTCATCTGTTTTTTGTTTATATCGCTAATTATCAGAGCTAAATGAGTCTTTTCATTTAGACATCTCCTGATTCTCAAGACTCCTTCAGGCAGATTTTGAATACCAGAGGATTTTTTTTCAGCAACCATCACAAGCAAATATTTAGCCTAATTTCCAAACTATTGCATTGTGATTCTTTCTCCCTTATCTTTCCCTAATCTTACAGAATCAACATAAAAAAATGAGGACATTTTAAATCCAATAGAGCAAACACTGGATATGTTTCATGTGCCAGGACTATACTAGCCATTTAGTGTGCAAAAAATGAATGCAGTTCTTGGGACATTAGGAAATGAAAGGAAAGCGAGGACCCACAAATAGTGGCCTCTAAAAGTCAAGACAGTTGTTAAGAGTAGAGGACAATGGGGAAGAAAAGCAGATTCAGGGTGGAGGACATAACGAGAGGAGCACAGTTTAGGATTTGCCATTAAAACAAGGGTTAGCATGAAATGAGTACTGTGTGCCTGGCAGTGTGCAGATTGTCTTATATGCATGGCCTTTTCAATTCTTAAAACAATCTTTTGAGGTAAGTACTATTGTTCTCATTTTAGAGATTAAGCAACTAAGATTCAGAGAGGTTGGATGACTCCCCCGAGGTCATACAGCCTAGTGAACTATAGAATCAGGATACAACCCACCATCTGGAAAAGGAATTGACTTGAAAGAAGCAAAGAACTTCTGCATGGCAGTAAGGGCCATCTGGGGTTTAATGTCTATGAATTTACAACAACACAAACTTGGAGCACAATGCCATTTTCTCCAGCAAAGCTTGGCAACTCAAGAAAAAGAATAAAGAAAGCTAGTTGTTGAAGTCATCTAGGATTGATGATTGTTGTGGCTAAAGAATAGTCACGGTGAAGGAATCGAATGTGCTGAAGAGTCCTGTGGAAATGAACATTACGTTAGGAAGAGAAGAGAGTGCTTCCAGTTGAGGGCTGATTTGTTAGAAAACATTGAGCTGTATTGATAGACTACAGCATTCAATAAAGACAAAGAAGAGATTGGAGGTCAAGATGTGGGATAGATGAAAGAATAGAAAATGCAAGCAGAATTGGAATTCCAAATTAGATTTTAAATGTAGAATTATGGAAATGAAAATGGTTGACTGCCTCAACTTCCAATCCATCCCAAATGACTAGACAAAGCTAAACATGGTAATCCCAGCCTCACTACTAAGCGTTGGTTTAGGACTTGGCCTGTAATCTAGTCTTGTTGGTATGAAAGAAAGTCTGCTAGGGAGCTCCCAGGAATGTTTTTCATTACTACAGAAAAGAGGCACAGGGGAAAAAAAAACCAGCCCCTCTTCTTCCTTTGGATCCTGTCTTGTCTCGGTGTCTCACTACCCACTTAAGGATGAAGCCAATACAGAGAGGAGGACAGAGACCAAGAGAATTACAGAAAAACAAAACAGCCCTGATGGATATACCTGAAGCTGTCTTGTGTCTTATATTTTATTATGTGAGTTATAAACTCCCTTATCTTTCCAGGAAAATTAAACTAGAGTTTTCTGTGCATTGTAGCCAAAGGCATCCTAGATGATTCAAGGGTGGTTTCAGATGATGACAGCATATTTTTACAATTGTAAGAGACTAATATGAAGTGAAATCTGAAGCTGACAAGCAGAAGATGAGAATAGCCTGGTCCAGAGAGCATGAGTTTAAGGGTAGGGAAAGTTTTGGACTGACGAAGTAAGAGGATTGGTCAAGGAACAGCACTGGCCTAGGACGCTAAACAACATTGTTACATATGTAATAATAAAAATAAATCATTCATTTAATCAATATAAAACACAAGAATTGTGCCCTGTGCCAGGGACACATAGTAAGCAAAATTAGACATGGTCTCTGCCCAGTGAAGCTTTGAGTCTAATGGAGGACGTAGACCTTAATCAAATAATCACAGAAACGAGTACAAAATTGCATGTGTTACAAATAAAAGTATATCTGCTACAAAAGAGAGGTTTAGATTTCTAGGTTGAGATGGAAAAATGCACACACTACAAATCACTCCCTCCCATTACAAATGAATATAAGTGCTAGCAAAACATATAAATAAAAAGGTTTAAAAGTACAGCGCCAGAGAGAGAAAGAGAGAGGTCTTGAGGTATGAGAAATGGAGAAGGAACACATAGTGTTTAATGGAAGCTGAAGTCAAGAAGTCCACAGAGGCTCAAGATGAGATGAGGCCCTTGGGCTGGGATTTTAGTGCCCTGTGGGGAAGGAAACTGAAACCGTAAGATTCAAGTACTGTACTCAGCCAGAACTAGGTTCGCTCCATAAAACTGAGCGCTGGAAATATGCTGCTCATGTATGAACTGGCACTAGAGGATCAGCACACAACTGCCCAAGTTTATCAACAGAAGTAGGCATTTGCCCCAGCCTTGGACCAGAAGCTTCTCTCTATTCCTCCGATAATGCAGGGCCCATACTGTATTACTCTAGTTGTCCAAAATTTCAGGGTAGGAGGAAGCAAAGTAGGAGGTTCAACATAGGCCTTCTGGAGAATGGGTGATTAAATTACAATTTTATAGCTGAACCATTGTGACCTATCGTGTGACTTCCTCCTGTGGCACTTGGTGCAGACACAGAAGGAATAAATAAGCGGATTCCGCTAGGATCAGGAATTTGCCAGACCAAGGTGATGAACAAAACAGAGGTGAAAGATAATTTTGCCTAGAGGAAGGAGTGTTTTTGAAATCATGAGCCTTAGACTCTAAACTGGAGATAAAGCGAAAATCAAAGAAAAAAGAAGCTGGAAGAGTTACTGGATTACAAATTTTGAAGAGGTTGAATAAAATTCTGTGAGGAGTGTTGAACAAGCAACTATAAGGAAAGGAGATTGTGGTTACAGATAGTAATGTATGAAGTAGTGATTTTGTCAGTGGATCAATTAGAAGTGCTAACAATTAACATGACGGTGCGTGGTGGAAGTAGAGAGGAAGAGGAGACCACGACGGATTAGGAGATTAAGGAGCTCAGAGTTAATGGCACAGAAGGGGTCATCTATGCCATCATCATTCACAGGTAATGTGGAAAGATGGGAGGGACTGAGATGGAGTTTAGCCAGGTGCCAATGTTTTAGACGACAGCAGGGGAAATGACTGAGAAAGCTGGTATGTGAGAGCAAGCAACAGGGTAGGGGGTAATAAAGCTAAATGGAATAAGCCTCAGTAGAGAGAGTTTCACAAGATGGTGGAGAAATGAAGGTGGCAATGGAAA